AAATCAAGGCACACCTAGCTTCTCCAGAGGAGAAGTCACCAAAGAATTTGTGGACCTATTTTAACTATCCTCACACCCAATTCTGGGTTCCCTGACAGCACCTAGAACCATTATTCCAGGACCACCTTCTCTGACAGAGATCTGGCCTCTCTCAACCCATCAGATCTTGTGTGCCTTCCTGTAGTTCCCCTGGAATGGGAACTGTGTCTGCTGCTGCAGGAGACCTAGGTACTGATCTGGACTCCATTAATATGTAATTTGGGGAAAAAGACTTCATCTCTCTGGGCCTCAGTTTCTACATGTGCAAAGTAGAAATTAGAAGCAACCCCACTTTCCAACGTTTTAGGACTAAAAAGGAGTTCCTGACTGTGCAAGAAGTGAATGTGGTCAAGTTGTCTCCCCTCTTGGAGCACAGTTTAATCATCTCTGAAATGGGGATAATAATTCTATCCTACTTCCCTAAGGGATGAAAGAGGTCTTAAATGGGCCACAGAGAGGCCTGTTCCGGAGACCAAACCCTGCCCCCACCTGGTTGAGAAGGCCCTGTGTCTGTATCAGTTGGGGTGGATGCTGCTTGCGTACAAGGGCGAGGGGTATGGCTGAGGGTACCAGTGAGGGCAGGGCTGCTGTCTACCCAGTGCAATGCGGCCTTATCAGATTCAGGCCTGGCCTGTTGAACAAAGAGGCTTTGAGAACCAGACTGGGGTGTGGGACTTGCAGCTGAGCCAGAGAGGTACTGACACCCAGGAGCCAGAGGACACCAGGTGGGAAAGCTACCACTGCCAGGAAGGTTTGCCCAGAGGAGGCACCCTCTGAGGTAGGAAGCAGGGCCTTCACTCTGCTTTTAAAGGTCTCCATTGCTGATGTCTGATCTCTTTGAGAGAATTCCTGTTGGAGGTACTTCCTACAAGGCCCTCAGTCCAGTTGGCACTGAGTGCAGTGTCCTTCCTCCTCAGTGTCTCCATGTCTTAGCCTCCCCTTTTGCTACTTCTAGCCCCAGTTACATGGGCTCCAGTCCCTGAGCATGGCCTAAACTTCCCCTCCCTGCTTTTGCTTCTAATGATCCATTCAACTACCCTTGCTCAAGTTACTTAGCCCCTCAAAGTCCACCCTTAAATATTTCAATGGATTCTTATGTCCAGTTTCCTCACAGGGGTGGCAAGTGCCTAGCAGGAGGTAGGAAGGCTGAAGGACAGTCACTCTGGGTTCAGCTTTTTCCAACCCAGGGCCCCCACTTGCTTCCAGAAGCCCTTAAGCAAATAGCACCCTAATGAGCTTATGTTGGGGGAGAGGAGTGCAGGTTCACATAGCTCTTTGGCAAAGAGCAGTGCTTGGCCATGACTGGAGGAGAGAGAGAGAGAGAGAGAGAGAGAGAGAGAGAGAGAGAGAGAGAGAGAGAGACTCACTCTGCAAGGACAGCTTGGAGAGGTTAGCTGCCAGAGGTCCTGGTGCAGTCAGATAGGGGAGTGCAGGTGAACTGGGGCTCTCTGGGGAGGGCAGAGCACCCAGGCTGTTACAGAGACCTCACAACTAAGAAGTTCCCCCACTTTGTATCTGGGACCCAAAACTCCAGTATCAGTATCTTCCAGTCTTCTTCAGGACCTGAGGCCTTAGGTGTAGGTCTTGTAATTTGCCTAGGCCCAGCCATCAGGGGCTACTCTTTAAGTTTTTTTCCTACACAATTGTGAGATATGTGGTGGGGGTAGGGTGCTGTGGTTTGAATGTGTCTATCAAAGCTTATGTGTTAGAAACTTCATCCCCAATGCAACAGTGGGACTTTAAGAGGTGATTAGGACTTGAGGGCTCTGTCCTCAGGAGTGGATTAATGCCTGTATCCTGGGAGTGGGCTTTTGCAGGAGTGGGTTCTGATGAAAGGACAAGTTTGACCTCCTTCCTTTTGCCATTTCCTGCTCTCTTGCCATTTTCCCTTCCACCATGGGATGAGGCAGAAGAAAGGCCCTCATCTGATGCTTAAATGAGGCTGTCGGACACCTCAGCCTCCAGGACTGTGAGAAATAAATGTATTTTTCTTGCAAAAGACCCAGGCTATACAATTATGTTAAAGCATAAGAGGGGAGACAGAAAAAGAGCAGGAGCCTGGAGAGTCCCGTAAGCCCAGGTAGACCAGCCTTAAGCAATGAGAGAGGATATCTATATGGAAAAGACCTGGGCATCACTCTTGCAAGTGCAGCCACTAAGGCCAAAGAAGAACCCAAGTCAAGGGTACTGGGGATGGGAGAGCTGAATAGGGGGGAGCTGGGGATGAGAGAGTGGAGTCTCATACTTTAAAACCCTGAAGTTTGCCGGGTTTGAGATTACATCTATAATCTCAGCAACTTGGGAAACTGAAGCAGGAGGATTGCAAATTGGAGGCCAGCATGGGCAACTTAGGGAGACTTTATATCAAAATAAAAAATAAAAGCCAGGCACAGTGGTGCACGCCTACAATCCCAGCAGCTTGGGAGGCTGAAGCAGGAGGATCATGAGTTCAAAGCCAATCTCAGAAAAATGAGGTGCTAAGCAACTCAGTGAGACCCTGTCTCTAAATAAAATACAAAATATGGCTGTGGATGTGGCTCATTGGTTGAGTGCCCCTGAGTTCAAACCCCAGTACCAAAAATATAAAAGTAAAAAAATAAAAAGGTCTGAAGAGGTTGCTCAGTGGTAAATTGCCCTTGGGTTCAATCCTCAATACCACCCTCCCACACCATGAAAAAAATAAAATAAACACTGATGTTGAATTGGACCATTTTTACCCTGCTGCTCATCCAACCTGAGCTTCACTGCTGGCCATTCTATTCCCTAGATGTAAATATCTGTCACCTTGTTTCTGACCCCATGGCCATCTCCCTAATCCAGGTCAAATGCTTCTCTGCCCAATTAATGGACTCCCCGTTCCACTATTGTGCCTTCTAGTCTATCTTCCACTGTAGCCAAGGGAGCTTTCAGAATCTGTCTGGTCACAAACCTGCCCCCCTTCAAACCTTCCACATATTCCTGGGTCCTGGGGATCCAGGCCAAATCCGTGGAACCCAGGCTCCGGGTCACCTTACTTCTGCCACTGCTTTACCTCAGTTTTTGCCAAGCCGTGCAGGCCCCCATGGTGTAGCCACACTGGCCTGATGGTGGTTCCTCCAAGCCTCCAGGCTCACTCCAGCCTCCACGCCTTGGACTTACGAAGTTGTCCCCTCTTTCCTCTCTCCTGAGAGCCAAACTCCCTTCTTGCCCAACCATCCACCCTATGCATCTGTACTCATCACCTGTCATCATAATCTAATCTCCCAAGCCGAATGTCTACATGGAGAAGATGTACACATGAGCAGACAAGAACATCTTGATCTTCACCTCATATTTCCCACCACAAAAGAGTTCATAGGCATTTTGATATGGTCAGTGAAAATCTGCTACAGAGATAGGACCACTCTAGATGTGCTGACAAAGCAGATTTCCAGAACTGAAATGCTGGGAATGACTTTCCAGAAAGGGACCAAGTTTACCAAATCATGGCCTTGTAGCAAAACAACAGACCCAGGAGACAAATAGAAGGCTTCAAATCCTGTTTCTGTCACTTGCTGTATAATCTTGGGTATGTTCTCATCTGGAAAATTATAGTGTTAAAGTATACACCACATAGAGTTAAATGGGCCACTGAGGATATAGATCTAGAATTATTTATTTATTTATCTTGCCAATAAATAAGGTGGGGGAGACTTGACGGAAAGGGGGTGGGGTCATGGTTCAGAAGAAGGGACATGGAGGTATTACTGCAGGGGAACTTGGACTCCCAGGCATAGCATCCCTCCCCTAGCCACCCTAGCCCAGTGATTAGTCATCATTAAATGAGAGCAGTTATCATTATAGCCTGTGGGAACCTGTTTCCCAAGGAAATGTTTTTTGCCCTGGAGCTTTCCTCCAAGGAATTCATCCCTACCATTTCCAACATAGTAATCTCTGTAAGAGGACAGAACCTGGGCAGTGGCCTGCTTTAACAACTGGCTTTCTGCATTAGGGGAACCTTGATTGCAGCATTTGCCAATTTCCATGGTGTTCCAATGGCCACCATCACCTATTTCTACTGGCCGGACCTAGGATGTCAGCTGATCTGTGGTGGTACTTTTTTTTTTTTTTTTTGCCTTGGATAGAGTGACTGACAGAAAATGAAGGGGGTCATCTCTAGATTTAACAGTGCTTCTCAAAATGTGATACATGTTAGAAATATTTATAAAGTTCCTGGGTCTCACAATGGATGTAGTAAAGCAGAATCCGGAAGACCATGTCAGAAATATCTTTGAATCAATTGCTGAGGTCATTCTTAGGTTTGACAACTACTTGGTTAAAGGATCTCTTACATGGTTAAAGGATCTACTGGCAGGTGCAGTATCACATGCCTGTAATCCCAGTGGCTCTGGAGGCTGAGGCAGGAAGATCATAAGTTCAAAGCCAGCCTCAGCAATAGCGAGATGCTAAGCAACTCAGTGAGACCCTATCACTAAATAAAATACAAAACAGGGCTGGGGATGTGGCTCAATAGTTGAGTGCTTGAGTTTAATCCCTGGTTAAAAAAAAAAAAACACCCAAATTCTGACTTGTCCAAGAAGTTAGAATGGGCCACAAGATAAATGTGAATTCTACACTCCATTACCAACAGCAGAGTCAGAAAGCCAGGTTCCAAGAAGGACCGCAGCGCATACAAAATGACTTTGGTCAGAACGCAATGAAATAGATCTAGATGTGAAGTAACCGTGGATTAGATACCCCTGTTATTTCTCTGATCCAACCATGTTTAGGGGAAAATTTGGGGGTCAGTATGCAAAGGCCCTGCCCAGTGTGGAGCACAGCTTTCTGCTGAACTTTGCAGAGTTACTGGGTGAGAAAGAGATTGCAGAGTAGGTGGAAGCTCTGGATGTCTGTTCTTGGAAGAGGAAAGCAAACCCCTAAACAGATCCATCTGTGACTCCAAACTCTGTGTATTGACTCTATTCAGCATCCTGGACTCCATGACTCTAACAACTTAAATAATTTTTATTACAAAATAAAGAAAAGACCAAAGCATCCCCCAAGTTCTCCTGTGGATTTCCTTCTCTTGCCAATAAATAAAATGGGGGAGACTTGACGGAAAGGGGGGTGGGGTCATGGTTCAGCAGAAAAAGGAGCTTAGCCTGGGCAGGGTTAGCAAGGACATCCAGCCCCTCTCCCTGAGTCCCAGGTACTATGGTCACATTGGCCAGAACATAGAACTCTGCCCACTGACAGCAACAGTTTCAGGATTTGTCTGGAGGAGTGTGGCCAGTGGAAGGTCATGCCTCAGGATGGCCAGGATGGCTGCCCCACCCCTGTGGCCCTTTAGGTTCTGGGTAGCAATGAGTCCAACCAGCTCCCTGCTGGCTCCCAGGGAATCTAGCAGCATCAACTGAGGTGTAAGCCCGCCTATGGGCAGAATCTTTTCATACTGTGGTCTATTACCAACAATGAAGTTGGAAACCAGGCTGGAGAAAGACTGGAGTAAGCATCCAAAGACAGATGGAATGGTCCTCTGATGGAGAGAGGCAGGGTGTGAAAAATCATAGTGAGAGCTGGCTGGGTGTCAAGGTCTCTAGGGTAGAGGGCTAGCCCACTGCACCTTGCCAGCTCAGCATTCAGCTCTATCACTACATTGGGGGACTTTGGCGGACATTAGCATTGCCCAGTCAAGTCTCAATGGTGTGTCTCCTGTGGAGGAAATAGCAGGGACTAGTGCCTCCAGCTTAGGTCCCTTCGAGAGCCACAGCCCTCCTGGCAGGAAGACCTTTGGGTCCAGCATGGCAGTTCCTGGAGGGCAGTGGTGGGGGTCTTTCAGCTCCCTGCTCCAGACACGCCCAGTGGGTGGAAGCTACCCTCTTCTAGCAAGAGACGCCCCAAGCGGTAAAGCAGCTGAGGGTACCAGTGCACGCCCTCGCCTGAGGTCCAGCTGCCCCATGCCAAGCTGGGAAACAGTCGCAGGGGCCAGAAGGCCAACTGAGCCAGACGGTGGTCAGACACAGCTGCAAAGCAGGAAGCTACCACATCCTCTACCACCAGTGTCCCGTGCCTTGTGAGTGGAGCATAGGCCCCGAGGGCCACATGTGTGGAGACAGCTGCCACCCGGGCAGGCTGAAGGCCAGGGACCCCTGCTACCAGCACGTACTGGCCAGGCTGCACGTGGCTGGCAAATGTGGCCCGAAACCGGGCTACTGGTTCTGTGTGGTTGTCAGCAGTGAAGAGCAGGTGGGCGGGAGTGAGTGCCAGGCGACGTGGGGGGTCCTGGGTCTCGATGACCTGGAAAGCCCTCAGCCTGTTTGGCTCACGGTCCAGGAAAATGAGCACATCGCTGAAGGTGGGGTTCCCATCCTCCCCCATAGCCAGCACCCGGTCTCCTGGCTTCACAGCTGACAGGGCCACACGTGCCCCACTCTCTAGGCGCACTTGGGCTCCAGCAGGAAAGCAGCCACCTGTCTTGGCTGCTGCCGAGTGCTCTGTGGGAAGAAGGGACATGGAGGTGTTACTGCAGGGGAACTTGGACTCCCAGACATAGCATCCCTCCCCTAGCCACCCTAGCCCAGTCAGAGCTCCTCTTGTTCCCAGGGAGCCCCCATCTGTATCCCAACCCCTGCAGGAAAGAGCCTACCCACAACCCACAATGTGATCTTCAGATTCCCTTCTCCCCAGCCTTTGCCAATGAGAGGAGCATACTGGGGCTCCAAGATCCAATGGGTAAGGAAAAGGGCCCTCCCAAAGCCCAGGTGATATCATCCATATTGACAGCTTGCCAATGCTGTGAAGGAGTCAGAGAAGAGAGGTCAGCTGAGCCAGGCATTGGTCATTTGTGACTTGACCCTAGGAAAGCTGTAGCCTCATAGAGAAGGAAAGTCACTTAGCTCCTCTGGGGTCTAGATATCCTGTTAATTCTCACCCCTTGCTCAGATGCTTCCAAAAAATTGCCCTCCCTATGACAGAGTTGGTTCTTTGAGTCTATGGAAGGGAGAGGAGGCCCACCCATAGGGCAAACACAGACTCCTGGAGCAGCCTCTTAGTGAATGGTCAGGGATGGTCATGGGCAAGAACAAAATCACCACTGTTAGTTCATGTACAGGGTCCTTGTAAGGGCATAGGACTTAGCGGCATCAGCAGGTGAGATGAAGAACAGTATCTGGGGGTCAAGAGTAATGATGGAAGTGGCCACTTGGGGAGCTGACCCTGGGCCAGTGTTTGCAGGTGACTTGAAGTAGACACAGTTGGTCAGGGAGGTGCAGAGCAGAAGAGTCAGGCTGTGGCTGGGGTCAGGGTGAGATCACTGCTGTGAGCCTCAGTAGGGTCAGGAATACTAAAAAAGCAGGCTCCATCTGTGTGCTGGGTCTATGAGTGCAATTACTACATTGTGCTGGTGTGGAGGGCGGAGCCTGCAGCCAGGGGGTGCAGGCTGGGACTCACACAGGAGCCATGTGAAGCATCCATGACTGGGTTCAATGTAGGTGACAGGGACGCTGGTGAGACTCTGGTGAGGGAGAGGGCAAGGCTCCAATGCCTGCCAATTTTGATCAACAAGGCGGCCAATCTGGGAAAATCCACTTTATTGAGTCCACTTTGTTTATTTTGGCACTCACAGCTGGCTTTGCCCCAAAATGTCCAGCTTTGGGGCTCTGGGAGAGAGGTTGGGGATGCCTGCACCCTCCACCCTGGGAAGCCTGACCTGTAGCTGGGTGGTGAGTTCTGAACCTTAGGGCTTCTGGTCAGGCATACTTATGTTTGAGCCCTTTCTGACCCCAAGCCCCACCACTTCTCCTGCACCGCGGGGGCACATGCCAGCCTGGCTTCCTCCATCTGTCCAGTTTGCTCTGTCTTGTACGTCCTGTGGTAGGCTCTGGACTGTGGACCTGCAGGTCAGCACCCAGCAACACTGGGACAGGCCCTGTCAACCTAGGCTTCTGCCATGACACTACCAGGCATACAAGGGACAGGCAGTCATGAGCAGCTGCAGGGAGCGCCGCCGACGTCCTCTTCCCCCAGTTCCCAGCCTCCATCCCCTGGTGGGCATCTTCACCTTCTTGGCCCCAGAGGGTACTGTGCTGTCTGCCCATGCCCTGCGGCCCCGGCCCCGGGTCCAGCCCCCCGGCATTGGCTCACCCGACTTGACAGAGCAATGCACGTGAGCCTTGGATTCGTAATACACCCAGTCGAAGCCAGCCTCCACTGCCAAGCGTGCCAACAGTCCGTACTTATTGCGGTCACGATCTGAGGTGGTTATGTCCACTGCACGGCCCTCGTAGTGCAAAGACTCCTCTGAGTGGTGGCCATCCTCATCCCAGCCTTCAGTTACACGCAGCTTTACACCCGGCCACTGGTTCATAACAGAGATGGCTAGCGAGTTCAGGCGGTCCTTGCAGCGCTGAGAGAGGAAGGCAGAGGAGTTAGCTGGAGGAGCAGGAGGTGGCCAACCTTGTCCCATACTCTCCTACTACACCCGGAGTTGGAAAAGCCAGAAAGATGTCTATCCTCCTTAGGAAGAGAAGGTTCTAAAGTGCTCCCTCCCAATCTAGCATCCAGGTGCCCCCAGGGAACTGAGCCACATTGTGATACCACAAATATGGGGGATTCAGGATGTACGTGCCCTCAAGGTGCCCTTCTCTGTTAGGTGGAACTACCCTTCCCTCCAGTATTGTCTCTCCCCTGCTCTGGGTTTGGTCCCTAGAGGTGCCAGAGGAAGATGTACTAGTGGAGTCTACTGCCTGAGGCTGGCCTGCTAGGCATGCAAAGCCTGAGGTGCCCAGTAGGTGTCACCGCAGCCTCAGGGCTGAGGTCTTGGGATGATCAGCCCCTGAGGAACAGCAGGTGCAGAGCACCCGGTGGGCATATGGCAGGGGACTTGTTGAAGGGGAATCCCAAGCTTGCCTGGATCCCTCCAGTACCACTGAGCAGTCCTGCTGGGACTCTCTTAAGATTTCAAGCCTATCAGCACCCTCCAAAAAGACAGAGGGGCAGAGAACTAGCAGCTGGTGGGCTAGTGCCACCCTGGCCTGATAGGGGACAATAGGGACTGTCTCGCTCTGCAAGCATCGAGTGAGGTTGACTCCTCTGCATCTTCCCATTGGTACACTGCTTCTGTTTGGAAAAGGAACCCAAAAAAACTGAGCCAATACTCTCAAGGATCTGACTCCGTATCTTCAGGATCCTCCTCAAATGGGGTGAAGCCCCGCTGAGGAAAGACCAGGAGAAAACTTCCACTGTTGCTACCTCCCTGTTAGGGTCCTTAGAGCAAAAGGGACCATGCAGCTGACTGAGGGAAGAGGGCAAAGGAGCCCAGGCCTCCACCTGTAGGGAAAAGGGCCTTCCACCAGGCCTTGAATCAGAGTTATGAGGGCCCCCACCAAGTGTGGGCCACTCATGCCTCAACCTATATCCACTCCAGGGGCCCCATAGACCCTTGGACTTGGCCTCCCAGGAACCAACGGCTACAAACCAAAGTCAGACCCAGCCTTCCCGGCAGGCAGCCTGGCTTGGGACGCTCACTGCTCGGTAGCTTTAAGTGTTCCCTTCCTGGTCCATGCCGCCTGGCTTTTAGCCCCCCACCTATGTCCACCCGAGGACACAGCTCCCAGCCTCTCTTTCCCCCAGTCCCCCCTCCCTCGAGTGCAGAGCCTGGGCTCTCGCTGTCAATGATTGCCCAGCCTGTGGCCCGGATCCTTATCTGCATTCCTCGGCGCCCGGCCCGTCCCGGCCACCAGCCAACCTTCGGCCCCGACATCGGCCGACCGGCCCCGGCGCCAGGGTGCATGCTGAAAGCCGTGCTTTAGCTGCTTTCCCTAAAGGATTTAGAAAGCCAGCTGCCTGCTAGCGGAGGAAGATCCCGGGACCCCAGAGGAGGTCTCTCCTTTGGCTCACCCTGCTGCAGGGAAGGGAAGTTTGCACCCCTGCCCTGGGTTGGAGCGTGGATCCTGTTCCGAGAACGCTGAGACTTCAGTCATCTCTGTTCCCCGTCTCCCTCAGCATCCCTGCTCTTCTCTTCCATCTCCGCCACCAAGCCCAGGGATTCCCCAAGTTCGGTCCAAGAGCCCAAAGGCCGTGGCACCCCACCCTTTAAGCGCAGCAGCGCCGCTCAGCTATCGGGACAAACACGTGGGGCGCAGCGGGCTCCCTATCCCACCTCCGCCCCCTACTCAGCTCTTCCCTGCTGTTCCTCAACCCCAGACTCAGCCGGAATAGTGATCCAGGAGGGGGCAGCGCAGCGAACTAAGAGCACGCGGGGAGGAAAGGCCAGGGGGCCCCTAGCGCCCGGAGCTTCTTCGCCTCAGGGGTACCAAATAGCTTCGAAATGAAAAGGGCGCCGCCGTGAGGAATGTTAGGCCGGGAGGAACTGCGTGGGCCCGGGAGGCAGCAGGGTCGAGGTACTTCCAGGTGCGGCGTCTAGCCTGAGCTGCCAGCGCTCTCGGGCAGAGGGGCCGCCGCCAACCTGCTGGGGAATCTCTTCGCAAAGACTCCGCGCGGCTCGGGGATGCCGACACTCCTGCCGGGACCCTGGCCGGCCGGTCTTGGGCAGAAAGCAGTCGGGCTTGGTGAGAGGGGCAGGTGCCAGGGGGCGTGCCAGGCAGTCGAGAAAAGGTGCCAGGGGGGCGGGTAGACCGGGCAGGTGGCTGTGTTCCGCGGCGCGCTAGGAGGGCGGATCGCGCTCACCTGGGTCATGAGGCGGTCGGCACCCGTGTTCTCCTCGTCCTTAAAGATGATGTCGGGATTGTAGTTGGGGGTGAGCTCCTTGAAGCGCTCCGAGCTGCGTGCGATCTTGCCTTCGTAGCGCCCGCTGGCGCCCAGGGTCTTCTCTGGCACGTTGGGGCTGAACTGCTTGTAAGCCAGCGGCACGAGTTTGCGCGGCGGTCGCCGGCGACTGCCCACCAC